TTTGCAGAAAAGAACGAATGTACGCCTGGAATCTTTTACCGAGACCAAGGCTGGCAATGGATTCCAGTATAAAGCGGTGTGAGACGCTGTCGAATGCTTTAGTGAGGTCTAGGGCGAGAATGCCACGAACATCTCTCGTTTTTGAGTCGAAGATCTGTTTCTTTAGTAATAGCATGACGTCTTGTGTTGAAAGGTGCGGACGGAACCCGACCATGTTGAACGGAAAGAGTTCGTGATCCTCTATGTAGCGCGATACACGATTTAGGATGACATGTTCAGCTGCTTTTCCTATGCATGAGGTTAGGGAAATCGGGCGTAGATTGTCGAAGTTGAGTGGTTTACCTGGCTTTGAGAGAAGGATTACCGTGGCCGTGCGCCATTGTTCAGGTACCTGGCCAGTTTCCCACATGTAATTAATGTCTTTTGTGAGTAGTGTGATGGCTTGGTCGTCTAAATTTCGCAACAGGCGGTTGGTTACCTTGTCAGGACCGGGGGCTGATCTGCTGTTGAGGTTGTGTAATGCCTCCCGAATTTCTGACTCCGTGAAGGGTTCGTCGAGTTCGGGTATCGTTTCGCATTCTATTTCTGGGTAGTCGGTGGGTTGTGCTGTGTTTAAGGGGAGGTGACGTTTGGAGATTTCTTCAAGAAAGGATGAGTTTGTTCCTCCCATCTTTTTGTGCGAGTGTAGGAGCCGGTCTATGGCATGACTCTGGTTGTTTTTTGTTTCGCAGTCGTCCAGCATGTATTTTAGGAGGTTCCATTTACCCCCAGTTCGCATGCGGCCGTCGACCGCCGAGCAGAGTTCATGCCATTGGAGTCGTGTGAGCTCCGTGCAATATTTGGCAATGTCTTGGTTCAGTATTGATAGACGTTTTCGTAAGCGTCTGTTTAGTCGTTGTGTTTTCCAGCGCGCGAGTATTGACGCTTTTGCCTCGAGCAAATGTGCTAGGTGTGGGTCCATTCTCGGGACCTCGAGTTCTGTTTGTATTGTTTTCGTTGTTTTGGCTATGTCTTCCTGAAGTGAGGTGAGTAGTTCGATGAATGTGTTGTATTCCTTTGTGTTGTTTTTGCGGAGGGTGCGGAAGGCATCCCAGTCCGTCAGCGTGAATGTACGGGGTGGGGCTGATGCGTTGGGTAGTTCGGTTCGTATGATGAAGTGATCGCTGCCCAGATTTTCCTGCGTATTGGTCCAGGTGTGGCCTGTGACGTTACGGGTAAATACCAAGTCCGGCGTAGTGTCGCGTTGTACCGATGTTCCAAGTCTCGTAGGGAATCGGTGATCTGTGATGAGTGTGAGGGACAAGTCGTCAATTGCTCGCGTGAGGTTAGTGCCTTTAGCCGTTGCCTGGGGGTAACCCCATGACGGGTGGGGGGCATTGAAGTCGCCTGCTATAACAAGCGGAGAGTTTCGCGCGAGCGTTGTGGCTTTAGTTAAGAGCGCGTGGAAGGACTGTCTGTAGTCTGACGGGGAGCTGTAAACGTTAAGGATAAAAACGCTTTGTTTTAAAAAACGGTTTGGTACGAGTTCGACGAGTATCGCTTCCAGGCGGCTGCGGGTGGGTAATACCTCATGTACTATGTGAGCAAATTTCTTGCTAATCAGCGTGGCTATACCTCTCTTGGTATCCCCTCGTTGTGAGATGGGGTGGTAACCCGATAATGTGAGAGTATCACAAAGGGTCTCCTGCAGTAATATTACATGAGGCTTCTTGGGTTGCGCTTTAATGTACTGCAGCAGTGGGGTTTTACGGGTCGCGAAGCTAGCGCAATTCCACTGCCAAATTTCTAACGTGTTTTGGGTTGTGGAAGCCATGATGATTACATTGAATTTGGTGGCCCAGGCAGATTTGCCGTAGGATCCACAGAAACTACTGTTCTGGCTTTGGTTTTAGCTTTTATGGTGGCTTTTTGCTCTAGTGCTTCCACCCGGCGTGACAGCGTGTCGATGTTATCGTGGTTTTCTCGCGTGAGACGTAAGATTTCGTTTAGAGTGTCTTCTGGTGAGTCGCTGTCATTCGTGTCCGCTTCGCGGAGTGGTGGGGCTCTGCGTTTAGGTTTGCTAACATCTACAGTGGATGAGGGGGGATCTTTAGGAGCTGTGAGAGTTTGTATTTGGTGCCTCGCCTCATTTAGTTGTGTGGTGAGCTGTTGTATGGTTGCCCGAAGACCTGCTAGTTCTTCTCGTAGAGTTGTAACTACCTCGCTTTCATGCTCTGGCAATGAGGGCCGCGTTACCTTTGTGACTGGCGGCGTGCTCCGTAGCGGTGGTTTCTTCCCTTGGACTCGGTCCGCCCATGTCAGCTCAGCCTGGCGAGATGGGGAGTGTCTCCTGGAGCGGGAGTGGCTGCGCTGGGCACTGCGACGTCTCGCTGTCGGTGTGAGGGAGCGGCTTCGCCTGGATGTCGCATAGGTGCTCGAGGTGGCGCTGGAATCGCGGGAGCTGGCTCCACTCGATCCTCGGGAGCGGCTACGACCGCGTCGACGGCGTCGGCGTCGTCGTTGGCGTACGATGTACGGAACTTGAAATTTACGTTTACAGTCCTTATCGGCAGTGGGGTGTGGTCCACCGCAGAGGGTGCAGTGGGGCTTACATTGGTGGTTTTCGGGTGGGGTTTTGAGTCCGCACTTTCGGCACCACGTTGTGTTAGGATTAGGGCAAACGTCTGCACGATGGCCGAGGCTGCCGCAGTTGTAACAAACTTCCGTGTGTCTGCGGAAAAGCGTGCATCGAACTATGCTCGCCCCGCAGTATACATAATTGGGAACTTGCATTCCTTGGAACAGGATGGTGACGGCTGTGGTGTTCTTGATGCGTTTCACCTCCAGGGCACTCGGGTTGCGCTTTGTGACGATCAGTTCTCGGAGCTGGGTATCGGTGAGGTCAATGTCAATGCCTCGGATGACGCCTTTGCACGTGTTGTCGGGTGGAGCCGGATATACAGCAACTCGGTACAGAGTGTCTCGCAGACGTAGTTGCTGTACCATGGTATAAGCGCGTGCGTTTCGTTCGATTGGGGTACACACTACAAAAATGTTCTGGGTGACATTTGGGCATATAGAGTCTTCCATGAGGTCTTGAGGAGCCAGGGCGAGAAGAACAATTTTGGGGTGAGAAGAACAATTTTTCTGTTAATCTACATTAATACAGCCTGTCAACGCGGTGTAATTTGTGTTTGAAAAATAGACCATGTGGGGCCGAAAGTCGAATAGCATTTCATTGTAGCGGACAATTTCCTTTTGAATTGTTACAATGTTGCATTTTGAAGTTTTTGCCAAGACAAAGTAACAAAAGTAAACACACACACACACACACACATACATACATATATATATATATATATATATATATATATATATATATATATATATATATATGAAGAAAGAGAGAGAGGGAGAGAGAGAGATAAGAGACAATAATGCCAAGGAAGGTATAGGGGAAGTTATTGGGCCAATCGTAATGCAAATGAGAAGAAAGAAAAGTGGGTGAAAAGATGACTTGCGTGGGCAGGATCGGATCCTGCGACCTTCGAATAACGGGTTCGATGCTGTACCACTGAGCTACCACGACAACTATCCCCTCAGCCACTTTATTGGGTATCTATGTCAATTTAAACGTGGGAGTGTCAGTCAGCGCCACTAGTAGCCATGGCGGCGAGTGTGGGACACTCTCTATGAGCCTGTTTGGCGTCACGTAGCACGTGAACTGATTACTAACTGGCCGCTGACCAATAGTCCCCCGTATGCAGCCTAAAGGCACCAAGTCTGCCAGTACGAGACCCTCGTAACGAATAAGGGAAACAAGTGTATACGTGAGGGCTCGTTTTTTGTGTTTTACACAATATTGATGAGAGCTAACAGACAATAATGCCAAGGAAGGTATAGGGGAAGTTATTAGGCCAATTGTAATGTAAATGAGAATAAAGATGACCATCCAGCCAGAGACCTCGTATAGTCGTTAAGGGTACCTTTATGGATGAAATTCACGTAGCCCATGCCTATGGTTTGTCACAGAGTCATGGTGATGCATATAAAATTTATGACGTATTAAAATTTCGCGCACAAGAGCACGCTTAAACCATTTAGGCACAGGCGATTGGCAGTGTTACAAAAGCTCCACGACTATTTTGAAACGCTTTGTTAAGAGTGCTCTCAGCACGTGAACACTAAACTTTATTGGGGAGCTTACGGAAACGCCCGCAACACCGCTGAAAGGTTTGGTTGTTGCCACACAGAAAGAAACGCGCTCTATCGATGATTATAAATGACCAACGCACTGTTACAGCACTCATTGTAAAATTATGTATCCCTTGTAGTGTGACTTTAATTAGGCAAACTGACAGAGGTTTGACCAAAAAGAAATTTCCGTCTCGAATAAGGCGACTGCTGGCTTTTTTAAAGTCACAAACATGTGACTATATCATGGTTTTGGGTCGTAAAATCTAGGGCAATACTCTTATCGCTTGATACACAGGCGTGGGCGAGTGTACCAGTTTAGACATAAGGCAAACAATGCATTCATCATTGCATTTATGACTAATGGGTACACGTTTGTCCACCATATTCTGCCCTAAACAACAGACAAACACATTCAACACTGCCCTATTGTAGTGTCTGATCATCGCATCATTCAAAGAAAGGAATGTTTTCCTGGGGCGTTGGTTTCTTTGTTAAACGCAACGACAAGTACTATTAGAAACTACTTGATGAAGGGCACTCTAGGGGACCTCAATTTCTCTCCTTTGCCGTAGTAACGGTATTATATTCTAAAATTTTTTGATTTTTATTTTCTTCAGTTCACTTCAATTAACATCATGATCGCTACACTACAGTTAAAGAAAGTGAATGTTCCTATCGTTTCTTGACCTCTTTAGCGTTGATATTGGCAGTCTCGTATATCCTACACATGACCACTGCTTAACTTTACCAGACTTTTTATCTGTCTGGAGCAGTTGGAGCAGCTTCAATGTGAAATACTAATCAATAAAATTATGTGGTCTAACCTTGATTTGTTTTTCCTGTGGCTGCACTCACTGAGTGCTTTTCAGTTGCGGATGACTTGATGGCTTCTTTTTTCACGTGCCACCTTCCATTGTAGTCTATGATGGTGGCAGCTATAACAACCAGCGTCAGCAACACAAGACATATGCTGTACGAAAAGAGATGAGACATATTGTTTTTTTATTCCCTACACAATTCCTTAGCGGTACTGTTCCTGTCGAAGTTGAGTCTCTACTGGCGGAGTACTAAAGTGCGTCTTGTCAAAAAGAAATAAATGAGAGAAACAAACGAATATTGTCAATATATGTTTACAAAAACGGCTGCGTCCTAAAAAATTTAGCTCACATCTGTTTTAAGTAGTTGACAAAATCTAATAAATTAGGAAATAAACACAGCTTAACAGATTTACCGTGGCTCATAATCACTGTTAGCTGAAATCAAATACCAAGCTCTAAAGGTCCATTATTTGCACCGACCAAGGTTCCATTGGCGGCTATGTTTCACCAAAGTGGCTACTTTTTGACGCCTTTTGGCGACAATAAATTACGGTTGGTTTCGTGGCGACTCTTTAGCTATTCGAAAACATTTATTTGACCAATTAAGCAGTCATTTCTCTCGTTATTTGCAGATAAAATACAGCATCTTTATACTTTTCTTCAGCCCGCTTGGGCACTCGCCCTTCGTCCGCCAGCAGGCCAGGACTGGTGCAAATTATCAGCACCTCAAGTTTTCCTGGAAACCTCAGTGGAGATAAGGAAAACTATTGAAGTTATTATTACCAGATCTCGGTGCCATGTCCCACCTTTGAACATGTATTTACACATGAATGGTCTGATGCTATCTCTACATTGTCGATTCTGAGAGGCATCAGAAGCTTTTGAATTTAGTTTTTTTCATGTCGTGAATATTCATAAATTCGATAAGCACTTCTAGCTATTTCGTTTGCGAAGCTAGGTTAAGGTTTGACCGCAGAAACTGTTCTAAATTATGGTGCATTCGTTATGCGACAATGCCACGGGCGTATTTGATGTGGTATGTAATTCCATCAGGCTTTCACGCATACTTTCACACCTCTGAATTTCAACTGAGTCACAGAGGCGCGTTAAAGTGCCAAAATACTCAATAAAATGTTGGATGCAAGAAAACTTACGTAGTCACTAGGGCCGGACTGTCAGCCATCAGCGTCATGCTTTCTCTTCGGCATCTCGTTGATGTTGCGTTTCCATTGCAGCCGAATCCACACATAGCTAACCAACGAAAGCTTGTTAGTTAAAAAAGAGAGCTTTCAAAGCGAGAGCTGTTTTCTTTTCGAAATATTTGAATTTATTTCTGTCTGGCAGTTTTTTACTCGCAGAAGTATTTTTTCAAACACGAAAAAAAAAACATATCAAGATTTAATAGGCTAATGTTGACCACAATGGATAAGTCAGTTATCTATGATAGCAACAGGCAAAGATTTCGAATAAGCTGCCAGCCAAAACGTTCGTAGTCACTTCAACTGCAATACGCATTTTGATATAATGGCAGTCCCTACGAAGCACAGATGTAGTTTGGCGCATGATCAGTAAACATATTAGAGTAAGGCTTGGAACAAAGAGTGCTTATATTACACAGTTAGCACATAAATCAGTGAAAAAAATATTTTGTAAACAAAGCCATGATAACCTCTTACCAAAGGTAGCAATGGCACTGACATCTTCTTCAGTGCAAGTGGAAGGTACACAGACGCCAGCAGTGATACTTGAACCATACAGCTTCTTGCAGATAGAACTTACTATGCCCTGAAGTACACATGAAAGACCTCGCTAAAAATATAGCGAGCATTCTGCATGTTCCAATGATCGAATCAAGTAACGTGGAGGGAAACATTGTAGCACTGTTCCATCATGTGGTAAGTTTTATTTATTCTAATAGTAAAAACATGTTTACTGGTTGTATATATTTCTCGGCTATCACAATTAAACCACGTGCACTAGAATACACGGATATGATAAATAGTATTTTAGAAGTGAAATGAATAGAATAAAAGATCACATTGACCGCTTACAAGGCGAGGTAAGCGCGACCCAGGCTTCCATATATACGTGTTCACAGGTCGACATGCAGCTAGTATATATCAAAAAACGTTCGTCACCTCGTCCCTTTAATTCATCTGAATGAAGGTGACATTTTTGAATGCCAGCAAGAATGGTAGTGCCATTCTGTTTTAGCTGTAGTAAACACTAACCCGAATACATTTATTGTTTACAAACCTTTACCGACTCTGCGAACTAGTTATATACGTTTTATAGAATACACACCTGTTTTTCGGCTTTTTGCTCTGAGTCAAGATGCACTGTGGTTAAGCAGTAAGTGCTCGTGAAAGCGGGGAGGTGTTGAGTATGGTCTTCTGAAGGTGAAAGTGCGGTGGCTTGCGGAAGTGCTTCTATGCACTCTGAATACAAACCTAAGAAGGTGCGTCCTCCCTTCATTATTCCACTCTCCATTTTGCCAGTGCTGTCAAACACTGGAATTGAGATGTTATTTTTTTGTAAATGCTGTTGAAAGTGAGATATCGCAGAGTAAAGTCAATTGGCAACAAAGCAGGAGAAAAACACCTACGCAAACGACACAAACGTAGATCTGGCGAAGTGCACGAGCTGAAGGAGGCAGTAGCAACAAAAATAGTTTTGATATATCTTGTGCGTTTTTGACCGTGCTGCCACTTTACACGTACAATTTAAGGAATATGAAAGCTCAACTTGAAAATTTGCCGTCCACATCTATGCGGCAATGAAGAGTACATTCAAGTTATCTTTAGATTCGAAGTGCACTTGGTCACAATAGATGGTACATTGTAAGTTTATTTTTAGAAGCTGTGCGCCTTGTACAGCCTTCCGAATGAGTTTAAAAGCTCGGAAAGCTGATGTTGCGTTCTCATCGATTAGTAGTAGCACATTAGAGTGCGTAGGCCACTAGCTGCTCAAAGTCGAAAGAAACTAAATTTTTTTCAGACGAAAACCTTAGCTACCGCATCTAACGCGAGAAGTCGATGTCGGTGGCAGCATGTTCAGCAGAAGTGGTTAGTGAAGAAAAACCTTCAGTGACGACGTCACCATAAGATGTCGTCGTGACATCGCTATCACACTAATATTGTTACGTCACATGATAACGTCTCTTCATAAAACAGGACCGAACAACTGCGTTAGGGCAGAAAGGTATCAGGGAGAGCCGTAAGAGTATTATATCGACTGAAAAGCAAAAATGGGTTCACTGTCACTTGCATGTCATCTTATGGCAATAAATCAGTACCCTGTTTTTTTTTTACCTCAAAATCCTAGCAACGACTGATGCGGAGTCCCTGCATTGCCCCGCGGCGCTTGAATAATATCCCGCGACTGAGCTGATCCAAATATTGCACCTGTGTCCGGTGATGCCTGATCCGAAAATTGTATAATGATTTATTGTCGTCGATGAGCCAAATAATACCACGGAATAACTGCGGCGAAACACACAGACCTTCAGTACTCGTGCCTTATTCAGAAAAATCTACGCTAGTTAACAAAGATAAGAACTCAGCTTTCTGTGTACAACTCCCTTAGGCTGGAACACGTTGCCCTCAATGATTGATTGGCAGCCTCACTGGCTTAACACATGTGCGTCGACTACAAAAACAAAATGTGAAAGTTGAGACCAGTTGACTGGCTTTCGAAGTTGCTATTTAACCAATGAAATAATCAGTCTTGCATGAACATTGCCAGCGTCCATAATCACTGTGAATATCTGGAGAGGAAATGAAAGAATACAAGCGAAAAGAGAGACCTGAGCATGGTTGAGCTGTGCCGTCTGATGGACGTCTGCCCCAAAAGCAACGTATTTTTTATACGCAGGTAAATTCTACAAAAAAACAAAAAAAGCTGCGGCAACAGTTAAACTGCCACGAGAGCCGCCATTTCAGCCACAGCGACAAACCTAATAAAGCACGTCGAAACACGATTTTTGGACACACTTGCCCCGGCCCCAAAATAATTTTTGAGATATATGAATGTTGTCTTTTGCATGATCAAAGAGTCTAACACCGACAGTTTGCTGGCACACCTAAATTCAAACGAGCCGGCAAATCAATTCACTGTAGATCAAGAAAAAAAAACAACGTTCTTTCTAATCTGGGTGTGCTCTTGAAATGCCAAGACGCAGGGGAGAAAGGCTGTTTCAGCTTGTTGATGTACCGAAAACCTGCGCAAACTGCATGGTATCTGAAGCTCAGTTCTAACTATCCAACTTCTCACAAAATGTCAGAGTCAAGTTACTGCTGAATCCCGCAGAGGCCATCTGCAGCTCATAAAAAATGTGAAGAAACAAAAAGGCACGAGTCTTTTGGACAATGGGTACCTGAATAGACTTATTCGCTGTGTGCCCCAGCGACGTGATGGACAGTAATGCGCCTTCCACTTGCTTTCTTGTGCAATGGCGGTCACTAACGATGTAGCCTCTATGAAACATTCCTACCGCATTTCGGTCCCATATGTTCCTGTAATCAGTGGGCAACTGCCAAGGAGTTGTGAGAGGAGGGAATCGAGGTGGCGCAGAAACCCGTTGCAACAATCGGGTTACTCTTGCCGCGACCAAAAAACGACCTGCCAAAAGAAAAATTTCCTAAGAGTTTCCATGCATGGACGGTGAAACCACTTAATCCATGGGACGAAAAACTTCCTTGAAAGGATACGGGAGCATCCAAACGACGTGCGTAGGACTCGCTCGCTGGATGCCGTGCCGACCAGTTGTGCCCTCGCGATCTCCGATGTCAGCGTAGCTCTGGCCAACTGGGCTGGCCCAACGTCATCTCCTGACACCGACCTCCGACTACAGCGTAACTCTGACCTACTGGACTTGCCATACGCCATCTCCGGACGCCGACAAGAGCTCTCTAAAGTGGTGCTCCGTCCTCGGACTCCTGTGACCGTGTTTCCATCTTTCCTATCTCTCCCATCACCTCGATATGTCCTCGCTCGCTGGCTTAGCGCATCTCTATTTCTCTCTCTTTACACCTTTATTCCTATCCTTTTATTCCTTCCTCACCCCCATCCCCTGTGAGCTACAGTTGGGGTGTCGCACCCTGAAGCAAACAGTTACGGGGCCCACATTTCTCTTTTTTCCCTCTCTTAGAACCACTTCAGTTCAACGAGGTGCGTAGCTTCAACGCTGTACGAAACGCTCTCACAGAACACAGCGACAACATGAATAACCGCAGCGATTTATATGACGCCCGGGACATCAACACGGAAAGTAGCCACAGAAAATTGCAGTTCTTAGAGCCCTGGCATATCTAAAATCTCCTCAAGTTATCAACCACTCGACTAGAACCTTAACGACTGGATACGTGCATGGTTTGCTGAAGCACTGAAAAAACAAAAATACCGCATTAACAAGAATGCCGGGAAGAGTGGAAACGGTGAGGAGGACACCAACAAATAAAATGTCGCTAGCTTCGGAGCCGGCCAAACGGTAGCCCTAAAAAAGGAACACAATCAGTCACGTAAAGTCGGGACAATTTATAGTTTTTCAATTTTAACAGAAACGACTATATGTTGACATTATTTATAAATTTATTTTATTTGTGATAAAAAATTTATTGTATTGCCATGAACAATCACTGATGGCATTCACTTTCTGAGCCCTGGCACAGCTTGTCACTAGGTCTATTCCATTTGAACACCATAGAATATACCTATTGTTATCTTGAGAATTTCTATTGCTGGACACACCTTTGCTTCGATAAGTAACTATACCATTAGAGATTTCACTGCGTAGCTAATAATAGTCACGGGGAGATAAAGGACTACAACACTCACTGTGGTACGCTGAAAGAGTAACAGCGTTCTCAGTAATTTTATTTTGAATGTGCAGATTATGTTGGCGTGCCCCAGTAATTTTAACGCAACGGCGACAAATGTGCATGACCAGTGTTGAACCGCGTACATTAAAAACTGCGTAAAATATGTTCAACTAACACGAAATGGCAAGAATTACTTCACTTGCGTTTTGGTATAAAGCCCTACAATATAAAATTTGAAGCGCTCATAGTTTTTGCACTTCATACTGGAACGCGTTAACATTATTCTTGTCGGCCCAACTGTTGAACAGGGCATACTGCAAACTTGTTTTTAAGGTAATAGGCCCGTTTGCACCTGAGCGTACTATGTCGATTTTGTTGCTGATTGTTCTGATAATGATCTATTGTGGATGAGCCGTTTGTAATGAGCGGGCACAGTTTAACCACCTACTGAAAATTAAATTTACACTGTGTGACTCCTGGCGCAATCCTACGCTGCTGGCTGGTATTGTTAGATTTGTTGACGCGGCTCTTCAGGTGGTAAGAGAATTTTATTGCCATAACTTGAGAGTTCTTAAATGCTTTTTCTGAAGCAGTTTAATACACTGACTTGAACATGCAGTAAAATATCAGACCAGCGTGCAAAGTGTCTGTGTGCGATTTTCGATCCAACATTTTTTTTATTCCGTGGAACGGCAGATCTATCTCCAAAAAGGCAACGTCACCGATACCACCAGCGCATTTTCCACTAGATGTATTCTAATGCTAATGTATTAGAGCATAATACAACACAGAAGTTGCTTTATTTGGGGTAGTACTTAGCGAATTTAATTTGAGGAAAATATCATGAACCAAAGCGAATAGCCCGTTTTGGGATTTCCTTCTTTGTCGGCAGCTGTTGGATGAGGTCACACATTTCTTTTTTGAACATTGCGTGATTGCTACTTGTGGTTTTGGAAATGAATTCACCCGTAATAGTTGTCGATAAAAAGGTAAAGAAACTGTCCAGCATGAAAATGTGCCTAAGGTTAACTTACTCTTCATTGCCCAATCGGAGCCACTTTGCAAGTGCGTCATGTAGACAGAAACATCATGTCTGCACCTTGCGCTCAGTGGAAGTTCGGCAGAGAGGAATTCTTCATGAAGATAATCAACCATGTGTGAACGCCTTGGTGTGGAAAGCGTTGCTTCTGAGAATAACACGACGTAAAAATGAGCCAGTAGCTGAGCGTGCCAACGTTGAAAATTCACTTTTTTTGGCTGCGTTCGAAACGTCATTGAGGCCATCTTCCTGCGTAAAGAATGAGGGCGTAGTCACGTGCAGAAGCCTGAAGAGTTCCCACTCTTACAAAATAGTAGAAGAAAAGTAATTACGCCGCAATTTTACTGCAAAATTCTGCTTTATGAGTATAGTAACCGATGTAGTTTTCCTGTTGAAAATTCCTTTCAAGAATGGGAGATGTATATTTTAAATCAGAATCATTGCAAATACGTTGCTGATTTCCGCCTCAGTGCCGTCACCTCATTTACTTATGTACGAGATTCAGCGACACCAGACTCGGCATAATAATACTTGCCTCAGTTTTCTGGGGATGGGTAATTCGGAAACGTTTCGACTATCCCATTGACATAGTATGTTTGGCTTATTCATATCGAGGCCTTTGAACGTAAAACCCCAGTACTATTATTACCATGTTTGGCTACTGATCACTGGTCTTTATTTATTTTGAACTTGAAGAACTACAGCCTAACTTCTTGCCACTGACCAGGCTGACATCGTTATTAGACCTTCTAAAATATGTAAAAAAGGGAACATGCCATGTGCCAGTGCTCACTGCTCTTAATATTGAATCTCGCGCAAATGTTAGACACCAAGGCACGGGTCGCCAGGTAACACCGCATGGGAAACGTTTGTGGAGCTGGCAAAAACTGTTGTGGTTTCAGCTTGAAGCAGTAATAAAGATAACTATGATGTTTCTACTGCTGTCACGTGTGGCCAATTACCCTTTCTACACAAAATATAACTAGAAATTGATTTTCGTTATTTCTAATCAAAATGAGTTCAGTTGAAGACACTTCATTTGCCCAATGGTTGTTACGTCCACGCGTGGGTATGAGCTACCAGGAATATATCGTTCGAGGAAAATCTTGACAGGTCCCCAGCTAAAGCCCTGTGCTTTGTGGAGCTGACGCAATATCATATGTGTTGCCAGAACTCTGTAACAGCCTGAGAGAGGTGGTAACAGCTTTGATTGTGAGATAACATTTTTTATTGCTTGCAGCTACGAGCTTTTTGAAAACATCACTGTGAATCAGCTTTGCATATACGCAAGTAGGAGTGAATGAAGTTGATACTGCCGACTTGCTACAACTGAAATATGTCCAACCACAAATTGCTGCACAAGTCTATTGTACTGTGGTTTCTGACAGGAAGTCTCTTACTGAGCAATAGGTGTGAAAGTGCGCGCGAGTGTGGGTTCAGCGCACAACATTTACAAAACACCTGTACATGAAGCTTGTTGGCAGACGCTGAGTTCGCTGGCCCATAAAACTGAAGAGATCCGAATACACTTTTTTTTACCTGAGCGACCGAAAAAAAAATAGGTTACCCTAAAACTTCACCTTCAGCATTTGAACAAGCTAGGGACATCCTGTTTCTAGTGCATACTTCAAACCCTACGGGCACCCACCACGTGGCCTTAAGAGAATAGGCGCAGTAGCGTGCGTATGTTTTGTAGTGTCGTGCTGGCTTTTAACCATGGAATCATTTTGGTAATCCCATAATACGACGCCCGTTGGCAATGGACGCTTGCACCACGCATTATTATACTGTGACACTTCATGAGGCGTTACGAAACATGTACACAGGACGCGCGTGTTTGTGAAGCATGACAACTACTTTCAGTGCTTTTCCAAGCAGAGGAAACTGTTTTCACTGTTTTCACATTGAGAGGGGTTGCCAGGTGGTATAACACCCGCTCGCCACGCAATCGAATCGGGTTCAGTCCACACTTGTACCGAAATAACCCTGGTTCCGTTACCACTTTGCGGCAGGACTTTATATCATTTATATACTTCATTTGCATCGTTCTCGACTTTTTGGTCACGCACCCGATGGCAATTTTTCGCTCACAATCAGCGACGCCGACACCGACTTTGACACCATCGCCGACGCCGAAATATCTTCGAAACGAGCTCTATAACGCTGTCGGGTTTAGACATTTTCCTCTGAAATGTCACTCATGGATAAATATTTTGTGGGTCATTGAGACCTTACAAAATAGCTCCGCTAGCCACAGGACGACAATAGATGAACGGCGCCAAACGTTCATACAGCCATATTTACCATGTTGAATGACTAGCCACAAGTAATTGCAAGTTCGCACCACAATATCAGGCCATCACAAGCAGGTTCAATTTTGAGCTTGTTGTGAACTAAGTGGGGCTGCGAAACTAACGTGCCAGACTAGCACAAAAATGCATTTGTCTAGTGCGCAATCGTGACTGCTCATTCAGCCAAGGCGAGGTTCACCGATGAGCCACGCTACATAGACGAAATTTGCCTCATTTTCCTAAGATCGCCTCCCCAACCTCTGCCGGTTATTCATCATTGATAGAATCAAGAGCGATCTCTGCGAACACATATCTGAAAGTGATAATTGAATTATGGCTCTGCTTGTGAGAAAAGTAGAATTCAGACAATGAATTGGCACGGTAACTTACACATTGAGGGGAAGACACGTAGGATACGTAAATGAAAAGTAGTAATATAGTAAGAGATAATTAGTAGAAATTTGTTGCTTCAAACCTTAAGTAAAAATATCTGGATGACCTTGTCATATGCGAGATCTTTAAAACATCTAGACAGCTTTCACTAGTGGTTCAAGGTAGGACTAACAGAGGAGCACAGGGCTGAACTTGCTTTATTTTTGGCTTCTGCAAGCTCAATAAAATCGGTTGATAGGTTTGACTAGGCATTGTAAGGTTCGGCCACGAAGACTGTCGAAATATATTGGCCGGTGAGGTGTCTTCGTAGATGATAATAATAATAATAATAATAATAATAATAATAATAATAATAATAATAATAATAATAATAATAATAATAATAATAATAATAATAATAATTTTAATAATAATAATAAATTATTATTATTATTATTTTATTATTATTATTATTATTATTATTATTATTATTATTATTATTATTATTATTATTATTATTATTATTGTTATTATTGGTGGTCCATATGCAATCATATTGTGCATCCCCAATCCACTCTATGGTTGCAAAAACGGGTAGGGGAGGATGACGATAGTAATAGCATGAGAACAGAACGACGACTCAGAGACAAGAAGGACATGAAAGACACGATTTTACTATGGTCATGTCATTCCCACTAGCCCAAGCTGCACACTTCTAAGGTAGCGGAGGCCTACGAAATTTTTGCCATCTGGTGCTCATTGTCATGTGCTGACATGCAAATTACGTGGGTCTCAAACTTTTTCGTATTACAACTTGTGGTGTGTCTTATTGGTAACTTTTCATATAAAAATTACTTGGCAGAATTCGCTGTTCATTGAAATACTGTAACCATTGTACATGCATTCACGCAAGAACACCCCCCCTACACACACACAGCGCTACATTTGGGGGGGGGGCGTATTCGTGTGTATGCACGTGTGAATGTCAACGTGTTTTGATAAAAATGTGGCGGCGAGTAATTTCAGTGTGATTGCATTTCGCTTCCATCGATCTCGCGAATCGCGGTTCAGTAGCCGAGCAGTATAACCACTGCTACACCACAGCAGATGTCGTCGCACCTAAGTGAACGATTAACTAGTGTGTAACTAACTCTGTCTTAAATTACATGGTCTTACTTAGCAGCATCGTGTGTAGCAGGGCCTTGATAAACTCAGTCTTTACCTATATGATTCCATTTAGCAAGATCGTTACAATATTGCGATGAGCAAGACATTATTTATCATGGTGCAAATGAGTCAACCCTCAACTGAGCTAGGATTTAGCAACATTTGTATTACCAACTGCGCTCGGTGAACAATAATTAGCAAGAATGCAATCAAAGGGGGAAGAGGGTAAAGAGAGTGTGGATCACAATTCAAGAGTTGGTGGGGATATACACTTGTTTATTAAATTCTGAAAAAAAAACTACTTTTCTGAAAAGGCGAAGCAGTTGAAGTGACTGCCAATAGTATTGATCTTGACATTAAGATCCTCACGAGGTCTTAAAGGCAAACGTTCTTTTTGTTGGTATTGCTAACCGCACAATATATTAGCACTATCAATGCCTCACTATAATAAACTGCCTCGAAGCCTTCAACTGCGTAAAATGAGCTAATTTAGTTGGACCACGACGGCAACGCTTCTGAAATGATTGGCACAGTTTTAACAATAAATATCTAGCCTTGACGAACAGAAAGTTTTGTCTGTTTCCATTAAGGTAGTAAACTTATTGTATAACGTGATGCAGTGAAATATGTTTACTTGGTAAGCGATGAAAGCCTATGCTAATCACAAAACCACAATATCAATAGGTTACTAAATCATGCAAATATTACCTTCATAGGGGCCAGTTCAACGCGCAAAAGGATGAGCTGTAGATCAATTCGGTTACATTCACATATAACAAATGCTGTTCAAACAAAGTGCCAGCGGAAACAAAAAAAAGAGGCTAACCCTGTGCAGGCTTTGGTGCTGTCAATAAGTCAAGTTTTTTATATAATTATTTTGTTTTTTGGCGCTGATTACCCGGCCGCACAAGTTTGCGGCAGCTGCGTTTCCTTTATGATTAATGCTGGCAGGATATCGCAGAAAGGCCCAGATCGGATGACTTTGGTAATGTTATGTTAGGGTATTTTTTTCCAAACCATCACCAACATTACAATATGTTTCCATCTGTGCCAATAAATAGCAGTTCATCATCCTCAAACCATCAAACAATATGTATATTTGTAAAAGAGCATGCTTCTAAGTATCTATTTTTTATCATTTTAACTACGCAAGGAATGTCACCGATAAGCTTTGAAAGCAAGCCAGTTTATCTGAAATAAAATAAATGATTGCTTGCAACATCACTCTTGTAAACAGCGCAACTAAAAAGGGCACATTTTCCCCTTCATTAGACATCTCAACATTGTTCCTTCTCTGCTGCTAGCAGCGTTGAACGCATATTAGGAAAACAATAAACAACAAAAAGCAAATAAACGCAATCCGTGACGCTCCCGAGTCGCCACACGGATTGCGTAGATTTGCGGTAATACAAAATGCGCGCGTTATACTGACTATGATAGGCAAATATTCGACAAATAGAGTGCATACACATTATGTACAATGCATGTTTATCTGCAAGAGTTGTGGTTGGGTTGAGGATTTTGAGGTACCACAGTAAAGATATGTGCCATCGAAAGCTCGAAAGCACTGGCACCGCATTTGATCGTGGCAAGTGACAACTGTGACGACCTCAAGCATTACATACTTGAAACTTCTTGTTCCGGAGAAACAGAAAACATACAGTGTTGTGTTTAATTGAGAAGATTGATACATTCCATCTCGAACCCCTACTGGACTCTCTAGTAAACCTGAATGTCACGTCTCACTCCCGGGCGCGCGCGCTAACCCTACGTGCTGGGGAAGACGTAGGTCCGCAGGTTGGCAGTGAGATGTTCAGGGACGCTTTACTTACGTTCAGTGAAGTGGCTAAACACTACCAGTTGAGTAGGCGGTCATTTGCTTCTCCGCACAACAAGTTGTTAGACCTCAGGCCATCACGTTTAGAATGCCCCGGACCAAGTCCTGTCCAAGCCTATTTTTCCTCAGCATAGTCTCCTCAGAGGCTTTTTACTCCACTTGTCCTGATCGTGGTGAGGTTAGTGACTTAGCACATATGCTCTGGCAGTGCCCCTCGTTTTGGGACTCCAGTCGGCTCACAGAAGAAGACTGGGACTCTGCCTTAGAAAGTTCAGAGTTGCTACCACAACTACGGGCTGTCCAGAGAGCCCACGATGCGGCGGGGAGGCTAGGCCTCCCCGTTCTTACGTGGGAGCGGCCCACGACGTTGCTCTCAAGGAGCAGCGCTTCTCAGAATCTGATATATTTCTTTGACTGACTGTCTGTCTGTCTGTCTGTCTGTCTGCAGCCAACAGATACAAACGTTATTAAATGGAGCTGTGTGAGTGCTAAGCCGTTCTTCTAAAAACTTGTAACCAAGTGTCACATGCGACAACTAAACTTTATCGAATTATGGTTGTTTCAACGATGCCCACTTCCTCGTCTTTTTTTTTTCGCAGGAATCTATATTCCTTTTGCCTCATCTAATTTTTCATGAATGCATCTTATTTTACACCGCCCCACGCTTGCTGTCAGTGTTGCACAGTTCTTCTTATTTATTGGACGGGAGGAGTAGCTACAAAGCGCATACACACAGCAGCTAAGAAAACTAGTTGCAGCCTTGAAAAGTAGAAGTACACTTGTCAAAACTTTGGCGCTGGTGTCAGCGTCGCCGTCACTCACCATTTATGCATACGTATCTATATAAAAATGCAGGAAGGAAAAACTCCTGAAAAATACTCCGGCGCTCGGAATTGAACTTGCGTTCTCTCAATCGTGAATGCGAGGCGTTAATCACTGAGCCAACGAGGAGCACGCCCTTCAACGTTCAAATGGAAATATATTTATATTTAACGCTTACCGCTGTCGACGGGCATCTCGAAGAAATTTATCGTGTTTTCAGCATTACCACCAGCAAGATGGCACAATGAGCGCGCGTCGCCATATCGCGCGCCGGCGCACGCTATTATCTCCCACGCGTACTTTGCTCCGCTTAGAAGAGGGAGGCGATGCTCCCTTGTGCGTCCTTATCTTACGTTGAAGAAGGTCGTACATCTTGGCTGGCCTCGGGCTTAACCTAGGAAGATCCTGTTGTAGTTACCGGGCGCGCAAAGCTCACGGCAATCATTACGAGCTTAGTTTGCGAAAAGCGTGCGCTTTTCAGACACAGCGAAGTAAAACCTGAGACACTTATTCGCGTGCATAAGTACCTGGGAGTACGTTGCATGTGCCATTTTTCCATTAGAAACGTGGGGAACCATTTGATCTGCTTGCTATTCTTTGCGTGACCTTTCAGTCTGCTGCTATCGCGTTCGCTTCGCCTTTGTGGCAAAGCTGTGACTTCTGTTTGTTTATCACCAATGAGAAATAGACAAAAATCGACTTCTTTCCGTCAGATATGCGGAATGGTAATATACACGGGGGCATTTAAATACTAAGGTTGCAGTATCCTGACAAAAATAAAACGCGAATACTCTAAATCTTGGACAGTAGTACAATAATATTTTCTGAGGATTAGCATCCCAAAACCACCATAAGATTTTGAGAGACGCTGCTGTGGAGGGCTCCAGAAACTTAGTCCAACTTGGGTTCTTTAACGTACACCTTAATACCAGCACCCATGCCTCAAGCATTCTCGTCTCTATCGAGAATACGGCCACCACGGCAGGGGTTTGATCCCTCAAATGTAAGAAAGCGGTAGCACAGCATCAAATAGTGCTTGCTAAATGCTAAATGCGTAAGGCATTCATAGAAGGAAATACGGTCATGCTCTACTTACCTTCTTTTGTGTTTCGTGTTTATGTCTACGCGGTTGTAGCCTGGAAGATTCATAAAACGATAGAGTCATGCTTGTTACAAAGATCATATCTAGCATTTTTACAAGAAAAGCTTTCATGAAATCAGAACACGGATTACGTGTGGTGCCGTAGTTGTCCGCCGTCGCCACTGGTGTCTGTAACCAGTATTTAAAAAAAAAAACCTGTGAAACAACTGGACTTCAACCCGGGTCCTCTGCGTGCGAACTTCGTACTCGGACATAGAGCCATTTCCTTGATTCGAACTCATTCCCAAACTGGCCTTAGGGAAGCTTGATGTCGGGAAAGGAATAGCGTCAATATGAGTAATGAAGCGTTTGGGAACATGGAAGGAACAACCAGGCATCACACAATGCCAATTGCGTAAAGAGTGGTTCGTCCAACGATCCAATCCATTACAAAAGATTGTTCTTCTTTACCTAATGGTGGCGTCACCCACTTCATTCATTAATCTTCATTGTCGTCATCCACTGCAATATAAATTGCGCAAATTTCTAGCAAGTCTGTAGCGGCTACCATGCTTCTCCGAAAAATAATGTAGGACAGCATAATGAATGCAAGCCTACTACGCAAAAATTATCATTATTCATGGCGTAACGGGTGCCCAACAAGTGTGCTTGTAGCAGTTATACAAAGAGTGCGCCGTGTCTTCAAGGAACTTGATTTGTTAAGAAAACGTTTTGAAAGGCCACTCTTCCAGCTTTCACCCTGACAGTGCTGCGCATTCCGCACAGGGTTGACGTTTTGTTTTTTTGTGCCTCCGTGGTCAGAGCCCAATGACAAGTGGGCGCCGCTATGTTTGTGTTACTTTTCATTCCCTCTGCACTCGTGAAAGCCAGCGAGAAGCACAAATGCAAATTACCTAGCATGAAATGGGAATTCGCGTGCTTCCTAATACGCGCTGCTGTTCAGCGCCAGCTCCCCGTAGTCAACTAGCGCAACGTCGCCACACGGCCACGTCGAGCGTAGGCGAAAAGCACTCGATGGCCTGAAAAGAGCATTTGCTCACGCACTGAAAAAAAAATTAGGAAAGGAGGCGATGTATTACAGCAGGCTAGTAAATGATTCCACCAATAGAGAAGAATTTCTTTTCACTAATATCAAAAGTTTTTATTCAATTTATAATCATCTGTTAAAAAACTTGTCCAGTAATGTACGGAGTACACGCTTAGCATTTCCCAGTTGTACGCTAAAAAAAACGGTTAAAGTTGTGGAAGACGACCCATGAAATCATGTGTCATTCAGGGCAACCATTCTTCTGGGGTGGTCTTTTCTAGCGCCTTTACTCACCTCTCAAACGAGCTTCTGAAGATTGTTCATGGGCATCTCAATTGCGAGCCTTAGTACTACAGCAGCAGCGAAAGATATAGCCAGGCTTCCAAGGAAAAAATAGACCTGAAAGAAAAAAGAATGTTCGCGTGCACTGTAAATGTAAGCTGACAGTCAGACACACACGTTTTTCTGTCTCGCTATAGCTAGATACTCTGGTCCTTCTAGCTTTCTGTAGAGAGAAAGAGAGAGCGAATAAAATGAGGGAAAGGCAGGGAGGTTAACCGGAAATCGGGGCATCCGGTTTGCTGCCATGCGGTATGCGAAAGACGAATGGGGCAGAAAGATGAGAAAGAAAGCAAAGAGCAAAATAATCGTGCGAAAAATAAAAGAGAGCGGGGGTGGTATAGTCTATACAATAGGCCTCTACCATGCAAAATGTTCAATAAGGCCTTAACTTGTTTTCTGTACGAGGACAGATTATGTCGGCTTTCAAGCACTCACTGTTCTGACAAGGGTCTGTGGTCAAGGCGGGCTAAAATGCTGATTTTTCGCTACAAGCTACGACACCAACGCCGACAATTATTCGAAACGAGCTCGCTGGCACTGTTGCAATAAAATATTTATAGTTCATTAGGGCCGAATGACTCATGAAACTCACATTGGAACAGTCTTTTATTACGACATATACCAAGTACATCCTTTTCACAATTGTTGAACTAGCTGATAAAAGCGTTACTTCTTGTCTACTTTTCCCAGCTCCCCATGCTTTACGCATATGAGGTGAGTGAAGAATGACAATTTTAATCATTCTATAGCAGATTGTGGCTTATATAAAACTCGTATCTTAGATACTAAAAAGTATGCCTCTGAGTATAAGACGCTGGCTCACGTGGTTAGAGATCCTCTTTTATCTCATGCTTTCGTAAAAAGCAAGTAGAATCCTAATATACTTAATATGAACGAGTATTGAATATTTATATTCTGCAAAAATAATAAACTAGAAGCAACACAAGTGGACAGTATTCTGCAAGTTTTCAATATTCTTTCGCCACACATTTTCCGCACATCTTTTCGTAACATTTAAGCTTAAAAATGCATGTGAGTTTCTTGAAAGAAAATCCACCTTAGTTTATATGACTACACCCTGTCCGGAAGATGGTTACATCCTGCTAACGCATAATCATATCAAGGAACTAACCTGTCAGGCATTATTTAAGAAATTGGGGCAGCTACACACAACAGCTAAACAGCAAAAACAGTGGAGCTAGTGGCCTTCCTCTTCTTCATTCTCTGCTCCTCATTCTTATATCACTACTTTAACAGCTATTTCACTTTTCCAGCCTTTGCTACACTGTAGTCTGCACGTCTATGCTACGCACTACCTGCTCTCCTCTTTCTTCAGCCTAACGTCACTCTAACTTCCCTTTTCCACATCCTTTCCTTGATATGATTTACATAGCAATGTTGCGGTTTCTTTCTCTGCCTTTCCGTTATTCAAGCAAAGCTTTCAGTAACTAAGCAATGAGGCTGGTGATGTTCGAGAAAACGATTCTCATACACGGCTGGTAAGCCCCACAAAAACCTTAGCTGAAGCTGAAGGGACTATGCTGCGGAGAGTGAAGCTTAGCTGAACGCACTGCGGCAAGCTTATTTTCTGTCGCCATCTTGACGTCAAGACCTAAATTACATCACCCTTGTCCCACCCTTCCCCAGTATTTCGTAGATGCCTTGGATAGGTAGGGATTCCTAATTTTTTCTCACTTATTTTTTCTATTTTTTTCTCAGTTTCTTTTCGCCTGTTTGTCTCACCTTCTTGTCACCTTCTTTCTAATTGCCCGAGTTTCACACAGACTGCAATCCCAGCCAACTAATAAATTTTATTCATTTGTATTGAATTCTTCTCGTCTTGATCTGCACATATTTTATTCGCTTCCCACATTTCTCTCTCCCAACGCGTTGCGAGGCAGTGCGACCGGCTAAGCCAGGTGCAGCGATTCCGATAAACCTGTGTTTCTTCCGTGTTTTATGGCGAAAACCTTTAATAGAGAGTTTTAGTACTGCGTACGCTGCGTACGTGGCGGCGTTGCGTACGTAAGGACGCTACGTTCTGCGTGGTGCGCATGCGCAGACCGCAACGCGCACGTATCGATTTAAGTACGCAGCAGCTACGTATGCACGCATGAGATCCGTGCGTGCGTACGTATGAGGTGATCGCGCCACTCTCGAACAAGTTTGCGCCAGCGCGAGACTTCGTTTTGCAAAATGGCGGCGTCGAAGGCAAGCACCGACCGGCTTTGTGGCTTAAAATATGGCCATAATCTGGCTATAACACTTGGATTGGCTCACATTGGCTGTCAGCAACACGTGCATCTATTTTGATCGACCAGATGGCGCAACACGCTTCACGCTCGTTACGTACGCGGGTACTACGGTGTACTAAAAGCCGATTAGTGGCAAACGACGGCACGTAACGCAAGGCGCTTGCGTGATGCGTACGTAGCACCATTCCGCAGTACTAAAACTCTCTATTGTCCTTGTGCTTACGTCGGTCATGTACTTGCATGGCTCCAGTTGTTGTGCTGAAGTGGCACAACAGACACCGGCCTCATTGGTCGCACCTCGTGTCGGTCCCAAGCGCGCCCACGCTTTGCTTGCATAGCGTCGCTGTGCCCAATGTGTCCACCCACGCTAGGGAGAGTACGCACGCACCACGTTTCTATCCGATCTGACAGTGTGTGCTTCAATTTCTCGGTCCCTTCAAATTGTCAGATAGGGTATGATTGAGTGTTTCTCTGACTGAGTATTTAAACGTTTAGACTTACGGCTCTGAATGTGACCATTTGAATATTAGTATCTGTATGCACCTAGAGTTAAATCAGTGTTTTTTTCTTTTTCGCAAAGAACAAATTACTGAAGGTGACCGGCCACAAACGATGAGTTACTATTAAGCGGTATCACATACGCCTTTGAAGATGGCTTGGCGACTGTGGCTAGAGGAATACCGCATATATAAAAATCTACTGACAGTGCAACAATCAATCCTAAACAAGCCACATTCATTTGACTAAATTGAATTTTTTTTGTACAGCCGAGAAAGATTTCATGTCCCCTCGAGAATAAGATTAGTATCTTACCATCAGGAAATAGGTCGAAGGTTTCTTGCCGTGATGCAAAGACGATAAACTGGAGAGGCTGATGTGCAATGTACACCGCAAACAAAAGCTTGCTGAGTGGTGCAAAGATGCTACTTGAGAGGAACTTTGTCACGAGACCTGAAACAGGAGTAATGGAGTACGAGCATTTTACAAATCGCAAGAGCAAGTGGTGTTGAAATGAACTTCTGTGGTGAAACAGTTATTTATTATAAAATATTCTTCATGACGACGTCGTACAGGGCTGTATGGGCAAATGTTATTACTCAAAAGCAGTCAATAGAAAGCGTGCGTGTACAATATAGGCCTCAATGTAAAACAAGGGCAATGTAATTTTTTGGGTACGAAATCCCAGAATACATTTACTTTCGTAAAAAAAGTGCGCTGCGGTGGTTGTACAATGATGCCGAACTCGGGTGCTAGAAGGAAGGTCATTGCGAGGGATGCCTAAAGAAGAGAAAGCAGGAGTGAGTGTGGGCTCTGTGACGCGAGAGAACCATACTGTTGTAGAGGGGGAAGGGCGTGCATGCATGTAAAGGCTGGTGCAAATCGGCGACTAGCAGTGGTCGTGCGACCATTTGCGACATGTCGCAAACAGTCGCTAACGGTCGCAAAGCGACGGCTTTGGCTCGTCGCTTCCTGACCGATTTTTCAGTCGCGCGACTGCAGTCGCAAAGCTGCTGTAATCAATCAGCGCCACTCAATTTTTGTTTTTTGTTTTAAAAGCGAAGCATTTGTTAGTGAACTTCGGTGGCTTTGAGCGTATCTATCTATCTATCTATCTATCTATCTATCTATCTATCTATCTATCTATCTATCTATCTATCTATCTATCTATCTATCTATCTATCTATCTATCTATCTATCTATCTATCTATCTATCTAGCCGTCTACGACATTTAGCTCTCGTGGGCGTTTCGATAATGCTATCAATACTAAACTTGGTATGGAATAACATGACTGTATGAGGAACATATTTGACAAGTCATAACATGAAAATTATCACACGTGTCATGAATTTCGGGTTTTACGTTTCTTGGTCCTGTAGCTCTTGCGGAAGATTCTTTCACACGACGTGTTTCAAAACTGGTATCACATGGCATGATTGCATTTCGAACACAAACGACGGACCTTAACATGAAAATCATGAAAAGCATGGCATGTGGTCATGTAGTCATGCGTGTCATGTAACTACATGACTATATGCCACGCTCACACACACACGCCCACACACACACAGCACAAACACACACACACACACACAAACACACACTGCTACGAAATTGTCAATGACATCACGAAGCTGCTTAGGCCAGAGAGATGCCGCAATGGACAACTCCTGGTAAATTGGACTATGCCGCTTTCTTTGCAATTCATAGAAGTTGTAAAACACACAGTCCTCCAGTATTTAACCTTGACAGAAATGCAACTGCAACGTCAAAGAAATTTTTTTCTTCCTCAATTTGAGCTGAACCCTCTTAGTAAGCCTTTAGGTTTGTGCTCTGTAGGTAGGCACTGGCAAGGCTTAAGAGCAGGCGCTGTTGTTCAATTCTGAAGTGTAATGCCAACTCTCAACTTGAGCGCAGGTGACAGGCGTAAGAAATGCAGCCTGGTGTCAGTTCTGTGAGCTCGTCTGTGTGTTTGTGAGCGGATTGTTGAAGAGTCAATATCTGACTACTCAGCCCTGTACCTTCTTTGTTCGCTCTGGCCTCTTCGGGAGTGAGCATATTATATAGGCTGATAGGCAGTGGGCCTGCATGGACGCTTTCTTCGCATGGGGCGCCCTGATCACTCTCAAAAGCATAAATTTATTATCACACTGTACATGATCGAGAATTTTTGTAGTGCCCATCGGCTCCCATTCAGCTTCGGGATGTAATGTTGATTGATATGTTGGGTTTAACGTCCCAAAACCACTATATGATTATGAGAGACGCCGTAGTGGAGGGCTCCGGAAGTTTAGACCACCTGGGGTTCTTTAACGTGCACTCAAATCTGAGGACACGAGCCTACAACATTTCCGCCTCCATCGG